CCTGAGGTTCAAGAGAGATGTGGAGAAACTGAAGATGATTCATCGAAGGGCTGTCATAATGGGCAGAAGCTTAGGTTGTGTAACCAAGCCACAACCTGTGATTGATGCTTCTTATTATATTCCCTGGCACTACCAGGAGGAGCTTGGCCGTATAACTTTTGTACCTTCTCTTTTGTTAGCTGTTAGATTAGAATCATCTATTATATCACCCTTTAGCTTTCCCTTCAACAACCTTTACCAGTGCAGCTTCCTCTGCCTCTTCTGTAGAGTGTGTAAGCTAGTCTTTCTTGATACAGATTAGGGAAAATATTTTAACTGGAAAAGCATGGCAGAACAGGAACAGGTTATCCAGGGAGGTTGTGGGATCTCTATTCTTGGAAGTTTTCAAAACTTGGACAGACAAAGCCACAGCTGATTTAATCCAATATTGGTGGTAATCCCATTCAAAACTGGATGAGGTAACTTCTAGAAGTCCAATCCAACTAACCTTTCTGTGACTCTGAATAGAAGCTTGACTCCATAATTTATTCTTGATTGACTGAGAACCCTACTGATTCGTTACTTCTTAGACCATGTTTGTACAAGCAGAAAGAATAGTAATTTATTTGGTCTACAATCATATTTTTGTCTGTAAAGTAACATTACACATAGAGATCTCAAGTTCTTTACTACAGAAGTAGTGACCTTCTCCTGTGTGGATTTTCTTACCTATCTGCAACTGACATTACCTTTACTTATCCAAAAACAGTGCCAGCTCTGCCTGTATCCTACATGTCATCATTAACATCATAAACGTAAACAGGATAGCACCTGAAGTTTATGATAATCAGGTCTGTATGAAACAATACATTCAAGAACTTAAAAAACTACTAGTCCATATCACAGGCACAAACAAGTGTCTCTATATTGATCATATGCTTATTTAGTACAGCTAGAAAGAATCAAAGAAATGCTTCCTCCAATGACATCTGTGGGTAGGATGGAGAAGTACATTGCATTGTTTGAACCATTTTTGGTAAGTATTTTGAGTGTTAGGTGGCATTTGCCTTTGCTGTAAAATAGCGATATGGTACAGCCTAAAATCTCATAGACAGTTTCAAAGCTTAATTGCTCGGCTCATTTTGTATTTCAAATTCAGCATGCTAAAACATACTACAGTCTTTTTTACTGCATTATGGACTCTGAAAAACTGGATCAAGGACATATGTCAAAAACTCCTTTTATTATGCCTGCATATGTAAATGCAGCAGTATTTACATTTTGCACAGTGCTGGCACACACACACAACTCTCAGGAATGATTAAATGTTAATAATCTGTTTCTTTGGCTCCTCCCTCTGCTATGCTTCTCACAACCCCTTCTGTTTCCACTAACAACTGTTGGAGTGGTAAATACCATTGCCCTGCTTGAGCAATATGGACATGGGATTCAAAGAGATGTCAGGCTGTGCATTCGAGCTGGGAAGTGCCTGTGCTAACTCCCTCTACTTGTCTTTTTCTTCCCTAGTGGACCTATACAGCCTGCTTATGACTCTGCCCATTTTCCTGTATCACTACTGGGATTTTATCTGCTTATTATTCATTTCAGTGAACGTTTTCTTCTGAGTTTCAAAAGCAACCATCAGAGAATAATTAGGCTCTTCAAAATGTTGTGAGGTGGAGACAGCTGAACCCTATCTGGAAGGTGGGCATCCATGAGTAGCTGTAGCTGGAAACAGAACATAGGACAAGAGGGAATTGTGTAGGAGGAAATTTTTAAATGGACTTTTTTTTATGTTAAAAGGCGAGGCTGGTATAAAATCTTTGTTGGTCTTTTATTTCTCATAAGAGCTGCAGCTTGTATTTGTGTATCATTGTTACCAGTTTATGATTTTCTGCAGCCAGAGCTGTTTTTCCATGGTGCTGAAAAGACTGCCAGCCACCCTTGTGAAAGAAATATTAGCTCAGCTTTGGTTTTTAAAATTTAAGAAACATTTTAGGCAATGTATATTAGGCAATACTCCTGCTATCGATGACTAAAAAGATCGAAATATTGACATATTTTCAGGCATGGGAGAATTAGGATCCTTTGAATGATTTTAACATCATATGGTTTGAATTTTGTTAAGTGGGATCCAGAGACATTTATCCATTTTCCACCATAGAAACACTTAGAAGTACATATATCTTCTCTCATTTTAAAAAGTGCTCATATAACTTGTTCTACTTTCTAGTCAGAGCAGGCTAATGGTATATCATCTCTTCAGTGCTTCAACTGAGTTGCTAAGCTACCATAAGTCTACTGCTTCCAGTCATGTACTGTCATCCCACAAATATGAATGGTTAATACACCAAAACAACCTTGCCCAAGAATGCAGAGCATAAGTAAAATTTTTGAGGGGAGCGATGGCTGTGGGTAGAGAAGAAATATCCTTTTCTATACTTGGTTATAACTGATACTGCATTTCTATGATCACGTCCAGACAAAAATCAAGCACAGAGAATTGTCTGGATAGCTTCTGGGTGAAGAGAGATAGTAAACGGAAAAATGGAGATGAGAATGGGGACAATGTGCAGAGAAAGGGAGAGGCAAAAGAGGGGTAGACAGACAGACAGCTGAAGCAAACAGGGCAGTATCCTCTGGAGGTAGTTTCTCTTTATTTTTGCCAGCTTCTCTTGCCCTGGCTCCACCGAAGTAAGTTAAAGGGAGAGATCCCTATGCCATGGCACTTCCAGCATGGAGGGGGGTTATGAAGGAAGGGACACTGAGTGGCTATTTCCCTGGCCTTACTTGAAGATTACACATTTCTGGCTGCAGGTGTAGAAAAATACCTTATCTGGGGAGATGCTGCTCTCTCACATCAGTCTTGATATAAATTTTCTTACTGATCTCACATTATAGCTATGTCCTTAAGGGTTAGGTATGCAAGTCTTGTCTGTGGCAGCAGTCAATGTATACTGGCCCAGGGATCAGTAACTAGATAATAAATCTTTCTGAATCCTGGCTTGCATTATGTCTTGATAGGAAAGTAAATCTCACCCTCTCAGCAGCAAGCTATTCTTTCATTGCAAGGATGCTGCTGGTGAATGATGTTTTCCAAACTGATAAATTGGGATTTCCTGTGCTGGAAATTGTTTTGTTTGTCTTGGATGTTTATATTTCAGCTTTATAAAGCAATCTGTCTGGGGAAAGGTCCAGAAATAATTGGCTGAGGCTTTTCTTCTTATACAGGTCTTTATAACCTTTATAGCAAATCCAAATGTAAAAGGAAAATCAGGATTTACCCTGGTGCTGGGAGGTTTATAGACAGTTGTGCTTCCACATACATGCCATGTTCCTAATTTCTGTTCTTCTTAAAATCAGCTAATATATATAAGATTAAGAAAGTTTGGGAAGTTGAAGAAAATAGTCTCTTGCATCAAATACAAACTCTTCCTCAGCCTTCCTGATAGTTGGCTGGAAGTGTTTATTGAAACATCTTCCTTGCAAACTTTACTCTGAGGTGTAGCAACTGACTTTCGTATAGCTTCTATACCTTTAAAATGCACTGTTATTTCAGGCTTTGCTCATTAAATTTGTTTTTCTATCCTTAATTGCAATGCTTGAAGAGGAAACAGCCAAGCAACTTTTGTCCCTGTCTCTTCATAATCATTTGGCATTCTTTACCTCCTTCTCAAGGGCTTTCCTTGGAAGACTGCACAGAAGCTGCCTTTCAGCTTATGCCAGGTAAGCACAAGGACATCCCTCTGGGTGGATTTTTGAAAGATTTATTAATGCTTTTGTGTCATTACCATTGGACGAGCCCCATTTCTTATGGGATGCAACTTTGTCTCCCATTGCTTTCCTTCATCTGCTCTAAATACTGATTTTTCTTTTTCTGCCCAACATCCTAATTCCTGATGGCAACAGGGCTTCTGCAATCAACTCCATCATTCTTTTGTTCCTGGACATAAGACAATTAAGAAGGCTATTACCTGGGAAAAATTCCTTTCTTAGGACAATTTATGAAGCCATTTGTGATTTTGGCTCCTTTCTGGTTTTGGTCCTTTTATGGTCTCCATTTCTTTAAAATTATAAGCTTAGAGAGTATAACGCAACCTTGCAACAACACATCTTGCAAATGGACAACTAAAGCGTAGAAAAGTTAGCAATGCAAGGGAAATCTGGGAGACAGAACTGAGAGGAACTAGGTATTCTCTTGCTTCCTTGTCTTTTTCAAGGCAGGCCAACTTTGTGCCCCAGAAGAGGCATGAGTAAATCACAATAAATCACAGTCAGAAAAACAAAACGTCATCAGTTCAGCTGCAGGAATTCAGTAAGGTTGCTGGTATAGTCCTGTATGACTGCTAATTAAAAGTCAGTATTAAAATGCTATTCTGATAAGTTAAAGGGAAACAAATCTCCAGTAACCCCTCTGCTTTCCTGCAGCTGCTGGTAGCTCATGCTGCATCTGAATCTACTGTGCTGTGTGATGTTTCCGAGATTCTTGGAATCAGAAGCCCCTCCACTTTCTGTGGCTCTGGGTCCTGATTGGCTAGAAGGCAAAGCAGGGGCGGAGAGTGTCCTGAATATTTTTCTCCTCCACACACCATAAAACAGGCAGCCGGCATGCACTGTCTGACAGTGAGACCAGTGGTTGCAGTTTGAAATTAGTTTCTGCTTTGCAGCTGTCACGGGCATTTTTATGTTCGGCTCTACGAAAGGGAACAAAAAAGTCTTGCAGCTTACAAGTGAATTAAACAGGATCTGACCATAGGGAAGAATCTGATGCAAAATAACAGACTGTTGGGACTCTGTGACATAGATCACCGAGGTAAATGTGATGATGATCAGAAACTGCATCTGTGAGAGCATAAATTGCTGTGTCTGAAACCTTATTTTGCGACAGCAGTCAAAGTGTTCTGAATTGCTGCCTGACTCGGTGCTACCTATTTTTCTTTTCTTCCCAAGCTGACAAGCTAAAGGAATGCAAAAGGAACAGGAGTTTTAAAAGCAGGAATCTGAAAGGGGATCTCCATAAGATGAATTTCACCCAGCACCGTGGGACACTCCAGCCTCTCCATTTCTGGAACCACAGCTATGGACTGCATGGAGGTGCCAGCGAGCCAAATGGAAAAGGCCATTCCGCAGGAGGCTGTTACGAGCAACTCTTTGTATCCCCTGAAGTGTTCGTGACTCTAGGCATCATCAGCTTGCTGGAAAATGTCTTGGTCATTGTGGCGATAGCCAAGAACAAGAACCTCCACTCACCCATGTACTTCTTCATTTGTAGCTTGGCAGTGGCTGATATGCTAGTGAGTGTATCTAATGGATCAGAAACCATTGTCATCACGCTGCTAAACAGTACAGACACAGATGCACAGAGCTTTACCATAAACATTGACAATGTCATTGACTCAGTGATTTGCAGTTCCTTGCTTGCATCAATTTGCAGTCTTCTCTCAATAGCAGTGGACAGGTACTTTACTATATTTTATGCTCTCCAGTACCATAACATCATGACGGTGAAGCGCGTAGGGGTCATCATCACATGCATATGGGCTGCTTGCACAGTCTCAGGCATTTTGTTCATCATTTACTCTGACAGCAGTGTTGTCATCATTTGCCTTATTAGCATGTTCTTCACTATGCTCATTCTCATGGCATCCCTCTATGTCCACATGTTTATGATGGCTCGGACGCATATCAAAAAGATTGCTGTTCTTCCAGGGACTGGCCCTATTCGCCAAGGGGCCAACATGAAAGGGGCCATCACTCTCACCATCCTGATTGGAGTTTTTGTTGTGTGCTGGGCTCCATTTTTCCTGCATCTGATTTTCTACATCTCCTGCCCCTACAACCCTTACTGTGTGTGTTTCATGTCCCACTTTAACTTCTACCTTATCCTCATCATGTGCAATTCCATCATAGACCCACTTATCTATGCATTCCGGAGTCAGGAGCTCAGGAAAACATTCAAGGAGATAATATGCTGTTGTAGCCTGAGAGGGTTTTGTGATTTGCCTGGCAAATATTAAACTAGGTGGATGTGTTACTGCATACACAACATGCAGCACAGACTTCCAAGCCTTTGGATCATCTTTGGTTTAAATCTTTAAGAGTGAGCACTTCTTTCTGTCTCCCCTCCCTCTCATGCTTGTATCCTATTCACATGTAATTCATATTTTTGTACAATGTTTGTGTTATATACAATTTGTAATTTATTTGGCTGGAATGAGAAGTAGCACTTCATAACAATTTGTAAGTAAGCAAATAAATGTAATGCTGAATGTGAAATATTAACAAACATGATCAGCTGTCTGTTCCAACTGCTGACAAAATAACTAACTTGCCTGACTTACAGTACATATTGACTGACACTGTTCTTTATTCTGTTGAAATAATTATAGCCATCCATTACATTATACACAGCTTAAAATAGAGCATATGCTTCTCTATTAGTTGATTAGAGGTTCTCTGGAATTAGAAAGCAGATTTTTCATAAAGGTTACTGCAACCAATGAGCTGTATTCATTTATTTTGAACTTTTTTCCTCCTACTCCACAAGCAGCAATTCTGTTCTTTGTTACAGTTATTGCCTACAACAACAAGATTTTTCAAACGCCTGCTATACAGACAATTGAACGCTTGAGGTTTGGGTTGTTTTATTTTTTTCAAGGTGATGACTTAGAGTACCTCTTGCAAAATTGAAATTGCTCCCTGGAGCATCAGTTAGCCCTGGATTTATTTTCTAGACTGGCATCCAAGTAGACCAGCACCCTCCATTCATCCATGAAGCAGGTACAGTATTAACATTCACAGTGCCAGCATCAATATAAAGTTTCACTGACAGATTTATCTGATGAAAATGAAGAAGCAACTTCAGTTTAAACATTCAGTCCTTCCTTTTTCTTAGATGCTGGGTGCTGTGGGGAACAAAGACCTTCTGCTTCGGAAGAAAATACATCCTAATTAGAAACAAACTGTCCTCTGTTCTGAAGTGTGGTGTTAGCAGCTGGGATCCACTGCCAGGCTCCTTACAGAGGACTTAAGTCATGTGTTACTTTGGCCTGAGCACCTCAGGAGCATACGAGCTTTGTCAGGACAATGCCATCACATGGAAGGGATGTGGCTGATGACTCTGTAAACCCATTCTCTGTACCTGGCAGCCCTCTGTGTTACGACTGTTTGAAGTCAGTTCACCTTTTCAGGCATCTAATTTATGTGTTCCATTTCAGTCCAAAATGCTACTTTCTCTTCACAGATTATAAGAGGGATCTCAGGTCTCTAATTTTAGCACCTTTGGAGGTGTATAAAAACACAGTGAAAACTGTTAGAAGACCTGGAAAATTCTGATTTAAAAAGCAAAATTAAATTTAAAGAATAATTTAGGTTTTAATATTTGATGCATGATTTTACCAGGGTGAGTAGTGAATTAATTAATTATATTACATATATAGTGAAATATTAATTTTCTTGAAAATGGCTTGTTACCTCAAGCTGCTTGTTCCCTCGTTAAAAAATGCCATTCAATGAAAAGCCTGATGTCTGCTTCCTGGAATTCTCCTCCAAACAGAAACTGATCTTTCAATTGTGGTTAACTTTTCAGGCTATCATAAAACTGTGACATTTGGCCTTCTGTCAAAGAGCATGAAGGTGGGTCTCAGTATCTTTAACTTCAGTTTACTTACAGGGAGAATAAGAAAGTATTTGACTTTGTGCATCAAAGTCATTTGGTAGGCCAGCAGCAGAGATGTTGCGTCTCCTACACCCTTGGGCCTTTCCATACACCACACTTCTTTCAACACAGTCTGTTACCTTCCCACAGCTTTAGTAAATGATATTGCCACATCATAGGGTTGCAGTGTGGAAGATGTTGAAACCTATCTACTGCACTAACTCTACTTATTTTCTTTTGGGGGAAACTATAAACATTACAATAATACATTCCTACCTGGTTCCATTAGATGAAGAATAAAAAAAGCCAAAGAAGGAGGATTAAAGCTCAAGGGGAGAGGGGGAAAAAAAAAGTATTTAAATTGATACTCTGTCAAAAAATCCAGTGGACGCTATTAAAGGCCGTTCTCTCTCCCACAGGATGTGATGCAAAAATACTCTGGCAATAATGCGAGAAATTGCTGATGCCAGTTTGAACAAGACACAAATCTCAGTTGATCCTTATTTTGCCTTACTTTCTATATCTATTATATGACTGTACATTCTGATATTTGGCTCCAAATAGTCCCTTTGTAGTCTATGGTCGCAGAGAGAATCCTGTGGAAAGTAGCACAAGAGCAAAATACTACCTTAAGTCCTATGAACATCATCTTGAAAGTCTCTTTTTCTCCCTTTAAGCTCTATAAGGACCAGACACCTAATTGAAACACATCTGAATTCCGAAGACGCTGTGTTTCCATAAATTACTTCCTGAATACCCTGTTGATTCTTAAAACTAACAATTTAAATTCTTTTTGTAACCCAAGGGGAAGAGAAATAAGAATTAATTTGTTTCAATGGTTTTCGTGTAGTTTCCAAAAATGGCATGTCTCTCTTTTGTTCTTATTTGGACAAAGACTAGCCAAGACAGTTATGACCCCACTAAGGTCTAAATTTAATTTAGAAATCTAATTTTTAAAAATAACTTATTCCAGATTTTTAGCAGCTCTGAGCCTGCTTAGCAGCTCTTCTACATTTATTTTATAAAACTAAATAAAATGGAGTATATATACATATGTTTTTAAATGAAGTTTTTTATTAAAGAAGACTTTTTCATCTCATGGTATTATCTTTTAGAGCGTATTTTGTAGAAATTGGCAAACCTCCTACATAGATAATTTTCCTGTTTGTAGATATTCTGTTCCTTCTGTGTAACTGGATCAGTTTCTGTCTAGCAGCTATCCAGCAGGGAGCCACAGAAATTGGTACTTTGGGAGATAAATAAGTTCATCTGGCTTGCTGGAGAGTGGGGACAGTGGAGCATCTTTTTCCACACTCTTTGCTGGAGCTTTGTTCTTCTATTTGAAAATCTAAGTATCTGGCACTTTAGTACTTAGCATTTTAGCCATGTTATGTAACCATGGTGCATTCCCCTGCATCTCCACTTTACACATGTAAGGATTTACATTTTCACTTCTGCTGGAGAAAAAGGGCTAATGGCTTTGCTCAGGCTCCTACAAGGCAGTCTTTGCTTGAGCTGGGAATTCAATGCAGAGTTCTCCACCCTTTCCCAGTTACTGTCTGTAATATAACACACAAAACTTTTGAAGCAAATCTCTTTCTTCAGAAGGGACATTTCTTTAGCTTTTAAGTAGTTTTTGAACAAAGCAAAGGACTCAAAAAAGCACTTAGAAGGCTGTAGTTTGTCTCAGTAGAATGGATTTTGGAACGATGATCCAAGATCCCTTTTACAATTGAAACATGCAGTCATCTGGAATCAAGGAGAAATGCACTGATGGACTGTTGAATTTGCAACCACAATGCCTTCAGTTATGCCTTTAATAGATGTGCAGAGTACACTTTCTAAAATGACTGTGTTGTTAAACTGATCCTATTACACAATGTGTTCACTTGAGCTTCTTTATTCTCAAGCTGAATTCTGGTGAAGAACTTCCGTCCTGATGTTACTTGTTACACACTGTATTGCTTACAGGCTTGAATGAAATTGCGGTCTCAATCCCACTGCAAGCAGCTCTCAGAAAATGTACCTTTAGGGATGAAATCTTCATTGTTGGTCCAGAAATTCATATTTTAAATTAATATTCTGATCCCTTCAATTATCTTTCAAGTATCCTATGATTTTTTTCTTTGAATGAAATACTTCTTTCACTTATTTAGAAAAAGGGCACTTCACAAGTCACAGGAACTGTCTACCATTAATACAGATATTGTCAGATAAGCTAGGTTATGAATTGACCTGGCTTGTTTGGGTTTTTTTGTTTCAAATGGTTCTGTTGTCCTAGATGTTTTCCATATTTTTGTCCATTCTGTTCATAGAAGAAGGCATTCTCATAACTGTGCATTCAAAATCACCTCCTTCGAGTTCATAATGTATTCATAAGTTCCACTCTTACCCATTTGTTCCCTTGCAAAAGTTATTCATTTATTTCAATTGTTCTTGTTCACATTTGGTATATTTCTGTATTTGTGTATGTCTGCACTGCTATCAATCCGAGTTGTCTAAGTCATCCCCTGCCTGTGTGGTGGACTTGCCTTTAGCCAACAGCAAAATCCCCACCCAGCAGCTTGTTCACTCCCCAACTCAGTGGGATGAGGGGAGAAATAGGAAGAACAGGTATGAGAAAACTTTTGTGTCTCAGTGAAGACAGGGATACCACTTACCAGTTACCATCACAGGTAAAACAGACTTGATTTATGGCAAATTAAAATAAATATGTACTTACTTATTCAATTAGTGAAAACAAAAAAATCCAACTAAAATAACATCTTTCCCCCTCTACCCCCTTGTCCCAGTTTCAACTTCACTCTTTTATTCCTGACTCCTCTACTTCCTCCCACCCAAGCAGTCCAGGAGGATAAGCAATGTGGGGCTGCCGTCAGTCCAGAACAGTTTCTCTTTGCCACTCCTTCCTCCTCACACTCTTGCTTAATCCTGGGGTTATCCCACATGCCGCAGTCCTTC